GAGGGATTGAGAGGTTGGAAGAGGGTTAGGTTTGAAGAGCGACGGGGAAGGAGGGCGACGGGGAAGAAGGGTGACGGGGAAGAAGACGATGGGAGAGGAGTGTAAAGTCGCGGGCGGTTGCGGCGTGGGGGGGTGTCGGGTGGCGGCACGCATGACGTCATGCGTGGCAGTGTACTGTATTCCGCCTTCTCCTTTACTCGGCGCTCCCGACAATCAACCGCTGGGTTACACGTCTACCCGGCAACCCACGGCAATCACTCTGCCCACCTCCGCCTCCATGTAAACTCACAAACTTGTTCTACACGCGGCCGTCGTGGAAGGACAAAGATAAAAGCAATTAAGCACAACGCGCGAGCACATCGAACAACAAGCACAACTGCATAAACGCAGCATTTACATACACAGCATTTGCATAACCAGCATTTGCATAAACAGCATTTACATAGCAAACACATCCGACATACATAAAACAATCCATGAAGCAGCAAGCTGCGCACCACGCGCGCCTACGCAGAGCAGTCGGGCATCGCACGCAGGATAAAACAGAGTAGCATTGATGACGTCAGAACCTTGCCGCGCGCGCTTAGCATCAGATACGCCGTCATACTCTACGGAAGCCGCGCGCGCACAAGTGGTAGCATCGCAGTCCGGTAGTCGTCGACGACCGCGCTGCGCGGCTGCCACTTGTGGGGGGGCGGCGCGCGGGGCCGGGCACAACATGGTAGCATCGCCCTCAGTGAATCTGGCGATGCACTTCCGGCGACGGTATCCATGTTGTGCTTCGCGCCGCGCGAGGGAGGAGCGGTAGCTGCGGGGGAGCGCGGGGGGGGGGGGGGGGAAAAAATGGGATGGGAAAAAATTTATTTTGGGGCTTTTCGAATTAGGGTTTTTTGCTGGGCGGTTGATGCTGACGGTTGTTGCTGGCGGTTGTTGCTGGCAGTGGTTGCTGGCAGTGGTTGCTGTCTGCGATGTCTGCGATTTCTTCTGCATGCGAACACCTTGTACACGTTTCCATGCGTGACCCGTGTACACGACGCAGGTGCTTGCTCGCAGGTGGGTGGCAGTGGTTGCTGGCAGCGGTTGCTGGCAGCGGTTGCACAGTGATAGCGCGCGCAGTGGTTGCTGGCGGTGGCTGATGTCTGCGATCTCTTCTGCATGCCGAAACCTGGTACACATGTCCATGCGTTAGACGTGTACACGACGCAGATGCATGCTCGAAGGTGAGACGTCCCACCGCCCCCAACTGCCCTCCCCTCCACTGCCCTCCCCTCCACAACATTCCCCTTCACCCAAGCCGCCATGCTCGTCTCCATCACGATTGTGTCCTACGCGGCGGGCGGCGTCATCTTCTCGCGGTACTACGGCCACGAACTACACACGGAGCGCCAGCAAGCGGAGTGGCTGAAGAAGCTGCGGGACGCCACCGCGTTGCACTGGCCCTTGCTCAAGGAAGACAACCCGGAGCAAGTGGCCACGATCGGGGAGGTCCAGGTCATGTACAAGCTGCTAGGCGACGTCGTGCTTCTCCTCGCGGGCGTGGAAGAGCACGACGCCCTGCTCATGTTGGAGCTGGCGCGCGCCATGACGGCCGCCATCCGCGCCGCGTGCCACGTCCCCGAGAACAAGCAGGGCGAGACGCGCGCCAGCGCCGAGCGCCGCATCCTGCAGAACTACGCCAGCCTGTGCCTCATTGTCGACGAGATGGTCGACGACGGCGACATCGACCACCTGGACCCGAAGGTCATCCTCAAGCTCATCAAGATGAGGCCGAGCCGGTAGCCGCTCACGCGTCGAACACCGCCGCATCCACGCCGTCCAGGTCGCGAGGCAGCAACAGCCGCCCCTTCTCGCTCGGCCCGCGCACGCTGCGCCGCACGCCCTCCACGTGCACGTCGCGCAGCGGCCACGTTTCCCCGCCCGCCGCCACGCACACCATGCATCCGCACGTCGTCTTCGTGCACGACGAGATGCTCACCGGCGCGCAGTCGCAGCAGTGGCTCACCACCAGCCCCTGCTCGTCCCGCATGTACACGAGGTCCACGAACGGCGCGCGGAAGTCGTACCGCGCGTCACCGTGCCCGCCGATGTGGAAGAGACGCAGCCCGAAGTATGACTCCACAGGCACGATGCCCAGCGCTTGGAGAGAGCTTTGCGCGAGGATCACGTGCAGCAAGTCGCGTTGGAAAACGCCCAGGTCTACCCCTTCCTGCCAGGGCGTGAACCGGCCGTCGAAGCCGGCGCGGCGCGGCGGCAGGAGACCGAGGCCCGGGAGGAGCCAGTGCGTTACGTTGACCGCGTCTAGCGCATCGCAGATGGTTGCCAGGAGCTCGGGGAGCGTTGGGGGGTTGTCGGGGGTGATCTGAGATTGCGGCGATAGTGGTGGTCTTTGCCTTTGAGTACCTGCTTTCCATTCGGGTGACGGAGGTGGTGTTTGAGTGAGCGAATAGGATAGAACTAGGACGAAGAGCGATAGAATTGCGACTGCGGGGATGGACAGGGCTGCGTTGAACAGTGTGTAGAAGGTGTTAGGCCTTTGTCGAACTTTCAAGATGCCGGTAGAGCCTCTGCGAGAGAGATCTGTGTGTACGCCCGTTGGCATTGCGTTGATCTGCAAGCGGAAGATGGAACGAGACCTCTTTCCTTTCGGCGCGGTAACATCGGCGAGAAGAATTTCAATTGGGTGTGAAGTCGTGCATAGAGGACAGCCCCGCCCCTTGGATACTGACTCAAAACGTACCCACAACTCAAGACTTGTCCGAGTTGGGAGGAACGGAATACCCCGTTTGTTGGGAGAGGGAAGAAGAGCAATTCTCTATTCGGCAGACAGTGATGCAAACTGGCTTGATCCCACAATTCAAAACCTAATTTGGCAAATCTTTTCGGCTCAAAATGATGGCGGCGGCGTAAATATATTTTCCTTTCCCCCCAGTAACTCCCCCCAGACGCTATCAACGTCTTTGCTCCTCATCGTCTTCTTGCAGCACTACGTTACCGCTGTGCAGCACCCCGTTCAACCTGTAGCACAAACCATGGCAACAGATTCCCAGGAGAAAAAGCCGGCCGATGCTCCGGTTGTCCTAAGCGAAGGCGCGGGCGTAGCGCTGGGCAGCGTCTTCAACCGGCTCGTGAAGCCCAAGAGCTCGCGGGGCTCGCGCGTGACCGGCAAGAAGCGACCGCGGTCGGAGAAGGCGTCCGTTGTGCTGGCCGAAAATGAGGACGTGCAAAAAAGCCTCGCGGAAGAAAAGAAGCTGCGCAAGGAGTACAAGGAGGCGAAGAAGGCCAAACTGCAGTTTGAGAACAACGCGCTGGTCATCCCCGACGCGGCGACAAACGCAGCGCTAGAGAAAGAGCTGCTAGCGACGGCGACGAAGGGTGCGGTGGCGCTATTTAACGCTGTGGCAAAGGCGCAGAAGATGAATGAAGACGAAAAGGGGTCCAACAAGAAAAAGGGGCCCCCTGTTAGCAGGGAGAGCTTTATGAGTATGATGAGGGCGGGGGTGAGTAAGGATGCCGCGTCTGATGCCGGGAAGAAGGTAGAAGAGGAAGGTTCGAGTGATGAGGAGGCGTCGGCGATGAGGAAGCAGGGTGCGAAATGGCTGAAGAACGACTTTCTCACGGCGGGCTCGACAAAGCTGAAAGATTTTGATAGAGAGGCTCCTGTGGGTGAGGAGAGCTCTTCTAGCGACGATGAGAGCAGTGACGATGAAGACAATCAGTCTTCGGATAGCGATTCGGATTAGGAAATATGTTTTGCGATTCTGCCAATACTGCTGGAACAGTTGCACGCGGCGAGGTGCAAGTAAAGGAGCTGGGTTTACATTTAAGTCTAGTGGGAATAATAAGCCTACCGCATAACGTCGTGGAGGAAGCGAACAAATTCTATTTCCTGGCCATCTTTGATCTCGCACACGGCTGAGTCAAAAGCATCGTATGTCACTTGGCTCCCATTCCTCTCTGCCGCCTTCCGAAAGCGGTGGCCAAAGTCGTTTCTCTGGCCAGACGTTGTTGCAGCAACTGCGATCCAAACATCTCGTGAGGGGTCCGGCGCCAGAATAATGAAGGGCTTTTCGCGAACTCCCTGCCTGGTGAGAGCCTTCTTGAGGAAGAGTGCAAGCCTTCTAAGCAGGAGAGGGTGAGCAAATAGCTCTTTAGATTGCTGATCTCTGAGGAACACATATCGAAAAGGTCCGCTGGGAACAAACTTCCGGCTTTCGATGACATCTCCACCAACTTCGGCGGTTAGCTTTTGTATTGACACAGCCATGTCCAAGCCAGTGTCAAGAAGATTGGATTTTTTCATGTCGAGAGCGTCGTAGGCCGTCCAAAACGTATGGGCAGCAGGGCTTATTTCCCCGCGAGGTGCTCGTTGAGAGCGGTCATCAAACTCCAGAAGGGCGCTGATGGCATGTGAAAAGTCTGCAGCGGAGACGTCACCTCTATGGCCGGGCAGAGAGCGAACGAAGCTTTCGTACTCGATGTTCACACCCAAGTCAAACCTTTGAATGGCCTTGGGGAGATGACGCTCCAGAGCAAGCTTGTTCTTTTGTTTCATGTAGCACCAGTCCTGTTGGCTGTCCTTGAGTGGAATTCCAAGCGTTGCAAGCATTTCAAGCAACCTACGCTTACCTATCTGGCGCCATGCCGAAAGCCTTGTTGCGGTGTACGTGCTGTGTAGCAGAGAGCCGTGTAGCGACCAGTGCCGAAGAAGGTCGAGACGCAGCTCGGTGTTCGGAGCAATTCGTTGGGTTTGCACGGCATTGCATCCCAGAGCATACCCAACGTTTTGTTCTTGCGAGCTGTCTTTTTGCTGTTTCTGGCCGTTGAGATTGGGGTCCTTGAGCTGCTGCAAAAAGTACCCCCTGGCATCCTCATAGAGATCCGAAGAAATGCTAGAGGAATTGAATTGGCTCGTGACACCAACAATAGCCATCCACAAGCTGTCCATATCTGAACGATTAAAGACGGCAGCGATGCTGTGACTAAGACAAGCGGAGCTCATTGCGAGTGTGGCATTGGAGTAATAATCTCTCAGCTTCTCTCGTTCCATTATCTCCGGGTCATCATCGTACAAACTGCGTCCTCTTGATCTTCGTATCCTCTTGCGTTTCGCTTTCCGACCGCGACGTTTGGTCGGCTGGGAACTGCCTTCATCTTGATTGTCATCTTCGTCGTCAGAGTCATCGTCAGGGTCGGCGCGGCCAGTACCTTCGCCATCGAAGAGGACGTCGTCCTCCATGATAGCGTCTGCGTCGCGATCTCGCCTACGCTTTCGTTTTTTTGGCTTTGTCTTCTTCACGGTTGGGGCCTCTGCATCTGCAGAATCCAACTTATGTTTGGCAATAGCAAAGTCGTTGCCCTCACTACGGCTATTGTCATCACTCGAGTCGTCCGAATCATCAGACTCGCTCTCCTCATCCGAGGAATCCTCGACCTCGACATTCCCCCAGCGGTCCTCCCAATCAACATCGAGTGGCAGCTCGGCCATAGCATTTTCCTCAAGATCGTCAAAAAGCACGACCCTCTCATTTCGAATATTCCTCAGATGGTACGGGCGATGGCAATCCATGACGAAGACCCTGACATCAGTCGGCTTCAGCTCCTCTTCCTGCAGCCCGAGCACCGCTCCAAGGTCGACCATGGCGCCGCAGTTGACAAGCAGGACTGCGCGCGGCTCGACCTTGGTGGCCAGCACGGCGAACTTTGCGGCAAGGTCGTCGTAGCCGATGACGGGGTGAATCTCGTAGCGCGCAAGGTCCGCGCGCAGCAGGGCCGTGAGGATGCGGCTTGCGGCCAGCGCGTCGACGTCGGACGCCGACACGAAGACCAGCACCGGCCCCTGGCCGTGCGCGGCGGACGAAGGCGCGAGCGACAGGCGCGCGTCCAGCGCAGACGTGCCCGCGCCGCGGAGCACCTGCCAGCCGTCGGGCGCTTGCCTCAGGGAGAGAAGCACCATTGGATGCAAGGGTGGTAAGCGGCGACGGGGAGGAGGCGGATGGGGGGGTGGCGGAGAGGGGGAGCAGCGGGACGTTGCGCGAGCGCATCGGAAGATGAGGGGGGTGGATGCATCACGTACCAGGCGCAACGTTTGGCTGCGGGAGGTTTTGGTTTTGGGATTGCGCGCGGAACCATTGCTGTGATTTTGGCGGCAAGAGAGTCACGAAGAGAAAGCTGAATGAGGAAACCGGATTACGAAGCCGGATCGCCGAAGAGAAAGAGGCTCACGGTGCACGGCTGGGGGAACAGTGTTTGCATTTTTCAAATCGCATTCAAATCGCATTCAAATATGACATTTTGTACACGTGCCATGTCGCATAGCACTTGAGCATGCTATCTTTATACTTTGGACGCCTACCGGCCGCCACCCCTCCTCCTCCTCCGTCACACCCGAACACCACCACCCGCAACACCACCGACCACTCGTCCCTCACCCGCAACGCCACACCCTACCCCCCCCATCATGCCCGTCCCGCAGATTCAGTACTCAGAAAAGTACTACGACGACGTCTACGAGTTTAGGTAAGCGGCCCCTCCATCCTTTCTCTTCCCGCCCCCCGCACCGTCCAAACCCCCTTCCCTAACCGCCATCCCCCTCCCACCGCACCCCCCTCCCCTGCAGACACGTCATCCTCCCGGTGGACATAGCCAAGCACCTGCCGAAGAACCGTCTCCTGTCGGAGAACGAGTGGCGCGCCATCGGCGTGCAGCAGTCGCGCGGGTGGGTGCACTACGCGATCCACCGCCCGGAGCCGCACATCCTTCTATTCCGGCGGGAGAAGAACGGCAACTACTAGCCCATCTCTGTAAAGCATTCCTCCCCCCCGCCCTCACCTCTTCCGCGGCGACAGGTCGCTCGCCTTGACTTCCTCGACCACTTTCGTCACCGCGTACGCCTCCCACTTGCGCGTCATGCCCGCGTCCGCGTCCCCCGTGTCGTACGCGAAGTGCTGCAGCGAGTCCGGTAGCGCGCTCCGCATTGACGACTGCCCGTCGCCCGCCACCGACTGCCTCTGCCTCACGCGCCGCCGCCGGCACACGTAGATCAGCGCCCCCACCACGACCGCCGTCCCCGCCGCCGCTAGCCCCACCGCGATGCCCACCACCTGTTCCCGCCGCAGCCCGCATGACGCGCCCTCGGAGAATGTCGACCGCTCCGACGCGCAGTCCCGCGGCGTCGGGCACGCGACACGCCCTTGAAGTAGCCCGAACCGCAGGTAGTAGAAAAACTCCCCCGCGAGAAAGCCCCGCGCTGTACCGCGATGCGTCACCGTGATGGGCCCGTCGTCCTCGTCGCGACGTATTGTCACCGTATCTTTGAAGTCGCTCGGGTGCTTGGTGGGGCTGTCCAGGTAGTGGAGGGAGGTGTGTGCAAAGTTGAACGTCACCTCAAGCGTCTTCACTGTGGCGACGGAAAGGCCGCCCATTGCCCATTTCGCTATCATCGGGAAGACGCCGGCTGGGAGCACGGTGTCCGGAAACCCGTCGCCGTCGCAGTTTGTGAATGACGTGACGCCGGAATCCATCTTGTACTGCAAGACCACAGTTTTTGAAGTGTTCGAAGGCGAAGTCCGAAATTTGACTGCTGTGTTTGTCGGTGACGATGTGTTAACGTTTGTCAAGGAAATAGCAGATATCGTCTTGTCATCTTCGACGAAGGCCGAAATGTTCGAAACCTTCTGTCCGTGTTGATGCGGTATCCACCTAGCAAAGATAGCCGTTGAATATGGCATCGTCATTTTCTCCTCGACATGCGTCATGCATCCCGATGACAAGGTGACAGTGGCCTTCACGAAGCACCATGATTTCGGTGGGTCTTTAAAGTTTGTTCCGGAGGGCGCTTTGCATGGAGAGGTGTACTGCGCCTTACATGACCTCAAAGATACCGCAAAGAACATCAACATGATGGTTTGTGCAAATTGAGATGAATGAAGGCTCATGACTTGGGTTTGAATAAAGGCTCTCAACTGCCTGGATCTTCAGGCAAGCTAGCTGAGTTCTAATCGGACACGCCTTGCGGAGCACAATTTCTCGATGCACCGCCGAAGACGAGGTTGACGCGAACACAAGATTATCAACTTAACACGATTGATGAGTTCTAACTGAAACTCTGATTATATATTGTGTTCGTTTGCAAGAGATGTCGGTAAATATGGCGTAGAGTAATTGCAACCGCCGTGCATAGAGCAAATGACCCGTTTGCACACCATATTATGTTGAGATGGGGAGAACGAGTTGCCAGCTTGTAGGCGTGGATGTGCGGGAAAACCCTTCATCTCCATTGCGTGGCGTTCGTGTATTTTCGAGGCACCTTTCGCTGCACCTATGATAAGAAAAGCCCTACGCAAAGCCAACGTTTTAGGCGTTTAGGTCAGCATTTGACTATTGACTTCTACTGTTCAATACACTATCCTTCCCATCTTTTCACAGAGTGGCTGTAAATTATTCTGCCGCCGACATATACCGCTGCGGACACTCTCCTCGTGCGTGGCATTGAAGACGGAGGGAGGAATGTCGACATTCCCCCGTTAAGAGCCTCGAAGCAAAGTATTGCACCAGTTCATCTTTCGGAATGCCAGATATCTATTGCTTCTCATTCGTTAGAACTAGATGCAGTCTACTCTATACTACATACGACTATGCATATGTCTGAATGATGCTTTCCGAATATATGGGCACACACATGCAAAATACCACGTGACCTCTTTGACATTCTTTTTCCAAGTGCTCAATTCGAGATTTCCCGAAATCGGCGCAGTTTTGGCCCAGAGGGCCAATCCGAGGACACCTCAGATGCTCCATGGTCCGGGCTACCAGCTTCAAACGTCCCCGCCATCTCCATCTCCATCTCCCCTAGTCAAACCTATATCCTACACGTCCTCGCTAATGGCAAGCGGCGCAGTCGATGTGATGGACCCCGCGACTGCTAGAAGCGGAACGGTTGTCGTCGCGTCATCGAACGGACAGGCAGACGCCGACAACATGGAGGAGCTTTTCGACGTCGTCGACGACACAAACACACCTGTCGACACGGCCAGCCGCGCACAGTGCCACAAAGAGGGACAGCTCCATCGCTCCACGCACGTGTTCCTCTTCCGCAGTCACCTCTCGATCGGCGCTTCCACGGCGGCGATCGAGGTGCTTCTACAACAACGCTCAGAGCACAAGAAAGTCGGCGCCAAGCTCTGGGATGTCAGCGTGGCAGAGCATCTCTCTGCAGGTGAGGAATACATCACGGCGTCGACTCGCGGCTTGCAAGAAGAGCTTGGGCTGAGATTTCCGGCAGACGCGCTGGTGACCGTCCGGCAGCCGTACTTGTCGAGACAGTTCTATGAGGAGGCCGGCGTGATTGATAATATGTTTACGAATACGTACGCGGCGTTGTATGAAGAGATGGCGCATGGACGTGTGAGGTTTGATGAGGCGGAAGTGGAGGGGGTGGAATGGTGGCCGGTGGAAAGATTGGTGAAGAGGTCAAAGGAGAAGCCAGAGTTGTTCACGCGGTGGTTGGTGATTGAGCTCGACAATATTGATTTAGTAGAATTGGGAAAGCGCATTGTGGGGATTATGTAGGGGGCTTTTATGTTTGTTTTATTGCCGTACAAGTTTGTGAGGTAGCAGGGAATGTTGCTGGGATCAAGATATGGTAACATTCCGCACAAGTTTCTTCACTGCGAATTAATTTGTGGTGCTACTATCCGACAGTTGAGCAGGAGTCAGGCTTCTGTTTCGTAGATTCACTCTGTCTCAGCGGAGACGACGACAGAGCACATTCGGATCAGGGCTCTTAATATCGAGAGTTGGATCGTGTTCCACAACTTGTTGAGCAAGGTTTGGGGTGTGAAGAGGACCCATATTCCCGTAGTCTGGCGTGTTCTGATTAGCCATATCATATCCAAGGCCTTATACACGTGACACACGTGTACATCCCCATGCGAGGTTTTTAGATATTTTTCAGCTTAATACTATGAAGGTTGGGATGGGAAAAAGTCTTCAGTTCATCCTCCGTTTGTCGGCGGCGGCGTAACTTGTGACAGACCGGAAGCTCATTCAGCTTCGTAGTTGACGGTGTTACAAAGCTAACGCTGAGGATGAAACAAAACGATTCCGGGGGCGCGATGAAGCAGACTATTAAGGAGAATGCCAAACGTCCACATCGCACTCTTGACACCGAAAAACGAGGACCTGACCCTCGCTTCGCCTCTGCAGAATGGGATCCAAGATTCGGTCGTGTACCAAAGCGAGCAAAAAAAGCCATCAATGACGCAAGATTCGAAGGACAGCTTAAAAGCAATCCTGGGTTTCGGAAATCCAGCGCACCGGTGGACAGATTCGGTCGTCCGAAACGCGACGGCGCCAAACTGGACCGAGCCCTACGGGAAATTGCAGAGCGCAGTGACGATTCATCCTCAGAAGAGGAGGACGAAATAAAAGCCATAATTCGTGAGCTTCCTCCTCAGCGCGCGGCTTACGATGGCAGCAGCGACAGCAGCGACGGCAGCGATGCCGATGAGGAGCTTTTTCCGAATGAGGACGAGGTGATGGAGGACATCCCGCGCGGGCAAGCCACAAAAAGACTCGCCGTCATGGGCTTGGACTGGTCGGCAACCAGAGCTGTCGACATCTTTGCCAGCCTTGATAGCTTTTGCCCCCCTGGAAAACGCGTAGAGTTTGTCGAAGTGCATCCGTCAAAGTTTGGGCTGGAACGACTAGCGGTGGAGGCCAAGTTGGGTCCTCAGGTCGTTCCGAAGAGCGATCTTGAAGTGGTGAAACAGGCTAGGGAGCAGAAGCTTGTAGCTAGCGACGACGAAGTGGAAGACGCAGGAGACGACGCGGGAGACGGAAGCGGGGAGGGGTCCGAGGATGATTCGGGCGCTTCTGACGAGGACGACCACGATGATAAGCTCTGGAAGTCCCAAGCAGCGCTGCGCAAGTACGAGGAGGAGCGCTTGAAGTACTATTACGGCGTTGTTCAATTCGAAGATGTGAAGGCTGCGGATGCGGTATATGAGCAGTGCGACGGTGTCGATTACGCGCAATCAGGCCGCTCGTTTGACCTTCGGTTCATCCCTGATGACATGGTCATCGAAACCAAGCCCAGAGATAGAGCGAATAAGTTGCCAGAAGGGTATGCACCCCCCAACGTAACGCCGTCATCTCTCAACAATTCGCATGTCAAGTTGTCATGGGATGTGGATGATCCCGAACGCGTTATTTTGAAGAAGAAAGCCGTCGGGAAGCATGAGCTCGACGAAGAGAATCTGAAAGCGTACTTGGCTGGCTCCTCATCGGAGGATGAGCAGCCGGCATCTGCGGCTGATTTGGAAAAAAAACGCAACCTCCTGCTTGGCGCTGTGAATGAGGAGCGAGATGCCGAGGAAGACAACATGGGGATGGAGATTAGTTTCGAACCCGGTATGTTGGAGAAAGGTGAGGACATTGTGAAACGGAAGCTAGAAAAGAAAGAGCACGAGGGTGAAACACCGTGGGAAGCTCGTTTACGGAGAATGGAAGAGAGGAAGGCGGAGAAGAGGCGAAAGAGAAAGCAAAGCATTGCTAGCCAAAACGGGGAAGAGGATGGAAATGGAGTGGCTGAGGACACTGCAAACAACCCAACACTTGAGTCGGACCCGTTCTTCTCCATCGACCACGACTTTGACAAGGCTGAAACCGAACAGACGCGTGCACAAACGAGGAAGAAGAGTAGTAAGAGTGGAAAAACACCTGCTTCAGCAGTTGTGGAAGCGGAAGCAGAGTCGGTAGATCCAAAACGGCAGGAGGCCGAACTGGAACTTCTCATGATGAATAGGAAAAATAAGAAGAGTGCGTCGGGGGGATCAATGAGCGAGATGTTGGCAGCTGTAGACTCGGACGACGAAGACGAGCGCAGAGCGGCGAAGAAAAAGACACGAGGGCGGCGACGGAACCAAAAGATGGCTTCGGCGGATGAGGATAAGAGTAGTCGATCAGCTATGGAAACTGAGGACCCTCGTTTCCAGCAAGTGTTCGACTCGCACTTATACGCGATGGACCCGACGCATCCCAAGTTCAAGCGAGATGAGACGACCAAGAGAATTTTGGCCGAAAAAATGAGACGCAACGCCGGAGATAGGCATGCCTCCAAGGTTGGAATACATGTCGAAGGAGCAGCAACAGCGCCGGCAAAGGAAGTGAAACAAAAGGGCGACTCCGAGGCGATGCAGCTTGTGGCGCGTATCAAAGCCAGGGCGGCGGCAAAGCGAAAGATGAAGCGTAGGTCATAGGGTGGTTTCTCCATTAAAGCAAGTTAAGGCCAAAGAGGAGGCGATTTCATTAGACCCGTTGGCGCTCAGTTGCTGCCTGTACTTCGGCATCCACGTCTTCCGCACTCGTCTTGACCTTGGCAAACACCGTTTCCAGGGTGGAGAGCATTTTCTCCGCGTCGTCAATGCCGGCCTCAGTGACCTCCTTCCCAACGCGTGCCTCCGCAAGCCAAGCTGCGCGCTCCCCAGCCTTCAAACTTGCGAAGTCAGCAAGCCTTGGAAGCAACTTAGCAAGCGCGTCCCTCGCCTCCGGATCCGAGACGATGACGGCACTGTCACGCGCCGGGCCTTCAAGCGCATCGCGCAGGGCGCTGGGCGACGCCATGAGGCGGCGAAAGTGCGCGAGCAGGGTGTCCAGACGCTGCGACACGGGGTCGAGCGAGGGTGCGCGGTGCGCGTGGCGGGCGGCGCTTCGCGCGGCGACGTGGGCGTGGTGACGTCGCGCGACGGCCGCGCCGAAACGCGCGGGAAGCAGCGCGGCCGCGTCGCCGTCGCTCCCTCGCAGCGTCGCGGGGGGCGGCACCAGGCGTTGCAGCTCGTCCCAGGGCGTTGGCTTTGGCGTCGCCATGGTGCGGGGGAGGGTCGCGTTTGAATTTGAAGAGGGCGGGCAAGTTTAGGTTACTGTATTTGCATTGCCGCCATGCGCGCCGCGCTTACACCCGTGCGAATGCGCCCCAGAGAGCCTCCAGCAGCCGTGCGTTAATTGCTTTGCTGGGCGCATCAGGAGCCCCCATCAGGAGCCCCCATCAGGAGCCCCCACCAATGCGTCGACAACTACATTTTCCTGCCTCCCGCACTTCCCCGTCGTACTCCTCCTCCCCCCTCCCGCTTCCCCACCCGCCACCCGGAAAACCCCCCCCCCCCCCCCCCACCAACACTCTCGACCTCACCGCCCCATTTTCCCCCTCTCCACTCCTCCCCTCCCATCTCCAACATGTCGCTTGCTGACTATATGACCCGAGTCGCCATCACATCCCTGGGCCTGCTGTACCCCGGCTACCAATCGTTCAAGGCTGTCAAGCGCGCGGACGTGCCCAAGCAACAAGCCTGGCTCAAGTACTGGCTCGTGCTTGCCGTGGTCGCGTTCGCCGGGCTCATCATCGAGCCGCTGCTGAGCACGCGCGTGCCCATGTGGAACATCCTCAAGATCGGCCTCATCGCGTTCCTGGTGCTTCCCATGACCAAGGGCTACGAGCGCATCTACCACATCGTCCTGGAGCCGCAGCTCGACAAGCACGAGGCCGTCATCGACGAGACCGCCGCCAACCTGTACACGGCCGGCGAGGCTCACGCCAAGAGCTTGGGACCCACCGTTAACAAGCTCGTCCAGCAGGGCAAGGACATGGCCACCAAGACCCTCAACAAGAAGACCACCTAAAGATCCGTCGCTTTCGTCTTTTGAATTGCGAGCTTGCTCGCATCGTCTGTCGCGCTTTTGTCGCGCTCGTCTCGTGCCCTTGGATGCCGTCGTGGGGCACGCGTCCATCGTGGCGAGGGATCAAGTGCGGCCGGGTCGATCGTTTTCGGGCCATGCCATGCAGTAGACCGGGATCGCCGCGTCGGGCGTCGCCGCAGACGCTGCAGTGAGCCAGGGGCAGCTGCTGTGCGTTATGCTGAAAGATGCTGGTGAGATGCCCCCTTTTTTTTTTCTGCAGGTTTGCCTCGCCATTGTCTCAATTAAACCACTTTGCTATCGTAAACACATCATTATGTACCAATTTTTGCCACCGCTGTTTACGGTAGTAGGTTGTATAGAAACGACAAACACCGCCATCGTCGTGTATCACAGATCGAGGTGCAGAAGATGGGTCATTACGCAATCCAATTACATCGTCTGTAGCTCATGCATGGTATATGACCTCAGCTCTTAAGCTGCCTGAGGTGGACACAGTATTTGTAATTGCTGTTTCCGCCATCTACCGTTGCGTCCCCTCCCTTTCACCGCACAGGTCAGCAAGCACCTTTTGCAGCCGGAGCTGTGTAATCTTCTCCTGCTCTGCCGCCGCGACTGCGACCTCGCGATCCGTATCATTACACAAGCGCACCTTGATCTGATCCCTCATCTCCTCCGCGCTCTTCCCCGTAGCGCAGATCAAGAAGACAAACGCATGTTTCGCAAAGTAGCTCTCATTCAGTTCCGCCAGCTCCGCCCTGACGTCCTGGGCCGCGTCTGTCACGGCGGCCTGCTCGCGGCTGCTCCACAGAGCAAATTTCGCCTGTGCGGCGCGGCGTTCGAGCCCGCCGATGCGCGGGTGCGCCGCGAAGGCTTCGAGCCAGGCCGAGCGCGGGAGGCCGTTCCACGCGCTCGCCGACGCACGGAAGAGGTGGGCTTCGTCTGTGAACGGCCTCTCACGTGCTACCGCGTCCACAAAGGCTGTGCTTGAACAACATGGGTGGATCGTCGAGCGGAAGGATGCCTCGGGAAGGGCGTTTAACGCGGCTATTGCATGCGAAGTCGTCGCCATGTCGCGGCATGGGTAAGCATCGGGAGGGGGTGGTAACCCGTACGGGTTACCGTACGTACGGTAACCCGTACGGTTACATGGGTATGGGTATGGGTATGGGTATGGCGATGGATTTCGGGAGCCCGTGCTGTACACGTACAGTACTTGTACACGTACTTGTATTCGTAGTATTTTTGCAACTAATTAGAGTGAACCGATTTGGTGAACGATTTGATGAACGATTTATGTATCCTACCCTTCGAAGGGTAACAAATGTGCATGTATGAGTGGCTGTCTGTGAGGTGAGCCTGGTCTTTCATATTTCATGAAAGACAAAATTTCTTGGTTGCAAAAATACTATGAAGACAAGTACCCTTCTGGTACGTGTACCCAAGGGTAGCGCTTTGTCTCAGTAGAGAGTTTATGTCTCACACTGCTCAGTAGAGAGTTTGTCTCAGAAAATTGGGAGAAGCGAAAAGACGAGGCATGAACTTTGCCAACTTTTGCCCTGTTGTGCTCTTCAGGAAGAAAACCGCATTGCAAGCACCTGATGCGGCATTGCACCGTGGATCGAATGCGTTCCCTGCTGTTACCACAAAAAAGGCAGGCTCGCTATGCACTGAGGTTGTAGCCTGCGAGGTTTATTGAATACGAAAAGACACCGTTTTTCTACTCTCCGACAACTTGAAGGAACACCTCCAGTACAGTTCGGCTGTAACTGAACTTACAGCCGAACTGTGCGGAGAGTTGTTCGGGTTCATTCCTGAGATGAGATCACTTTCCTAAGAAATGACCTTGCTGGTACCAGCAAGGTCAGCGCCCTCATACACGTGTGTCGCATACGGTATGAATCTCGACAATAAGCTTTCCATCCGATCATCATCATCATCATCGCCTCAAGTTGCCCTCCGTCCACCAGTTGACCCCACCGTAGCAAAGCCTTCCGTTTCCGCCATGAGCATTGCGCTCCGCCGCACCACTCGCCTCCTCCCCCGCATCCCCCTTTCCTGCGCCGCCCCTTCGATCCACCACCGCATCCTCTCCACAAAGCCGTCCCCCTCCGCGCACGCCCCCTCTCCCACGGCCCCCGCCATCGTCCAATACCTCGGCTACGGCGGCGCCATCCCCTTCGTCGTCGGCGGCCTGGGCTCGCTGCTGCTCCCTAACGGCCACGTCCTCGCGCAAGCCACGCAGCTCTACGGCGCCGCCATCCTCTCCTTTCTCGGCGGCGTGCACTGGGGGCTCGCCCTGCGCGCACCGTCAACGCTTGACTTCGCCTACTCGGTCACGCCCTCCTTGCTCGCCTGGGGCGCCTCCCTGGCCCCGCTGCCACAGGGGCTCGCCATTCTTTCCGCGAGCTTCGTCGGCGCCTGGGCATGGGATGAGGTCCGCTTTCGCGGCGCTAGTCACGTCCCCCCGTGGTATCGCACCCTCAGAAGACCGCTCACGGTCGCCGCCGCGGGCGGGTGCGCCCTCGCATGGCGCGCCGTGAGGGGGACGAAGAAGGAAAACGGCCTCCCGATTAAGGAAGCTGACACCCGTGTCTTGGCCACCGCGCCGCGGGAGGAATGCACACGGAAGGCAACACCTTCAGGGAATCGCAACGACAAAGTCGATGGGCATGTGGAAGACGTAACTATGGTCCGCCAGATTTGAAATCGGTTTCTTTTTGCGTTTGCTTGCCAACTTTTCTTGTTCACATTACGCAGTATCGCGATTCTTTGACATCGCCGTCGAGACCAGACTAGATCAAGGTTTTGGATCGAATAATCAAGATCAAGAGCGACGTAGTACGCATTGTTGAAGAGGTCCTCAGGTTTAAGCGCCTCTCGTCGATAGATTGCTTTGCGTGCTGCGGTATGGCTCATACTGCATATCTATCTATCTATGCGAAAGTGCCCGAGAAATACATCCACACAAACGTATTTTTCATTAGGACACGGAGTAATCTGAGCGTTTTGTGGGTGTGGTTTTGCGACCCAGATTGTCGAGAGGCGTGTCAAGCCGAAGTTTTGTAGTTCATAGGCGGCTGTGTAAGACACATCTACATACCCTTCGAAGGGTGTTCTGCAGAATAATTTTGTCTTTACCTTACTAATTCCGGAAGCGGCGCGATGTGCGGGGAGAACTTTTTCCAATCCTCCAATTCTTCTTGTCTCCACAATATATCACACATGGGATTGTTAAACACCACGTGAGCACTAGTAACCCTTGCAGGACATCCGAGTAGACAACATTCAGAGCAAGCGCTTAGCGCTTGCTCGCGTCCCGAGTAGAGCGTTGGTTCTGTGAAGCATAATGTTCTACTATTTAGCTCCTAACAAGGAAGAAATCATCGTTTCTGGGCTTTCATACAGTAGGCCGGACAACCTGCAAAAACACGTTCCCGTTCAAGTGCACAAATGTCATCTTCGTTATGTCACTACTGACTGTTTCACGCCAGCCAACACGTAATACTAAACTTCTCCGACATCGGACAGTACAACGATGCAGTACCTGTGTGCTCCAACAGCACACCCGGGACTTACATAAGCTTCAGTGGGTTTGAAACACGCTTCCCTAAAAGTGGAAGATGCGGCAGTCGTCAGACCTTGCAATTACACACTCGACAAGCATGAACCGCCAGTTCTCATATTAGTGATCTCAGAGACAAATCATCTCATAAGACGTTCGATCAATGCTTCAAAAAGTCTTTCAGCACATTAGCAGCCATCAGTAGCTCATTTTCACTGAGGGGCTCTGACCTCGTCTCTGGACCGCGTAGTGAAATGAGGAAGAAGGTACAGATTGACACTACCTCCTTAGGGTAATCATGGAAGGCCGATGAGCATAGACCGCGGATTGCGCGCCTGCCTGTTAGGCAGTCACTCAGGGGGAATCAGCGCGGTGCGGAGCGCTTCCCTACATTTCTGAGACGAGTCGAAGACCTAAGCCCTGCTCCACCGCTGCTGCTTCGTGTTGCTCTCCCCGCAATCTTTGTCGCGACTTTGCTCTTGGCTTTGCTGGCCGGTTTGGTTTTTAGTTTCCGCATTTGACTTTGCAAGCTTTTGCTGTGCGCTCTCTTCATTGGTTTGACTAGCTTGTCTTTGGAGATTGACGCGTCTTTCGCTTTAGAGATTGCTGTGACTTTCGCATTGGAGACAGACGCGGCTTTCGCCCTCGTAACTGCCGTCGTACCGGACCTAGTCCTCCTCGATGCTGTTGCCGTCACGGTTGCTTCCTCTAGCTCAATCTCCTCTTCCGCCCGGCCATTAGCAAGAACATCATACGTCCCGTCGTAATCATTCCCCGCCTGCAAATGCACGCCAGACTCCGAGACGGGTGTCTCTTCTGGGGATTCATCCAGACATGGCGAGCCCTTAATAAACTCCCACCCCCCGCCCTTGAGCTTATCCGTCGTATGCTCATCAATATACACGACTTTCAGCCGCTCCCCCCTGTGCGTGTAGTCATAAACCATGGCGAGGTACCGCTCGCCATCGTGCGGGTACTCAAACTCGACAATGGCGCCGTCGAGAACCGGAATGCCGTTGAAAGGGCGCTTCTTTGGGGCTAGGATCCAGCGGCGGTTGTGCAGAGGGGCGAGCTCTACGCCGTCATCTGATCGGTAAACGATCTTGTACTCGTTGGTCTCTGGGTAGTATGCCACGACCACGGCGTCATACCACACGCCGTCCTCCCAGCACACTAGAATTTCTCGACCCTCAATCTCTTTGCCGAGAAGACTGTCGTGCGGCGTGAAGGGCTGCTTGCTGTCGCTGTTCCGCGTCGAGTTCGACATCGTGAGCCGCGTGGAGTGCGACATGGTGGATAGTGGGGAGAGAGGGATGCCGAGAGATGCCGGCCGACAGAGGTAGTGTTTAAACGGAAATGTGGGAGCTAAAAGAGCGCGAGGGAGCGCCGTGGGGCGTTGGGATGGCGGGGGTTGTCAGGGGAGTCCGACTTCTCCCCGCCTGTCTTGGTGTGGGAAAGAAGACAGATCACCAGCCAGGAGCAGCTGATATTGCAACTTCTGTGGAGAAAAGTTGAATTGCTTGGTTTTCGAATGGTGAGTCTTCGAAACGGAGGTTTCGGGACAGAGGTTTCGGGAGGTAACAACACGATATATGACGGGAGCGCTGTGCGCGAGAACAGCAGAGGTCAACCGCAGTTACCCGATTTAAGAAGCTTCAGGTTCATCGTAGTCCATCGATCCTCTATGTACACGTCTTAACACCCCATCCACGAGCGAAGTGGGTCAAAAAGCGCTGGATTTTAGGACATTTTGAAAATGAGCAAATCCGCTGCTGTAACGCACTGTATGAAATCTACCTTGCTGTAGAGCTCAGAGTGAGCAGCATTTAACGGAAAAAGAGTTTTCTTAATCGCCTGAGCCGTTATGGAGCCAGACTTCTCGCAATGAGCACATTCTACGAGTCCCAAATGTCAGTGGAATTAATGAAAATTAAGGTTTTGGTACTTTGCCTGAGTATTCAGTGAATACTATTCACCTCCACTTTATTCTAGGCTTGCTATCTACGGAAACCCTACATGAGATTTGCTTTCTCCTTTCGCTTTCTGGCAGACTTCATGTTACTTATCCTGGACTTCAGGGCTTTGTCTGTTGGAAAATCTGCTTTAGTCACGACGCCAGTCTCCAAGAAAGAGATTTTAAGGTTTACCAGCGCCTGGGAAGGCTTAATCGCTGGGTTGTTATTCACCAAACCGACTATCGCCTCCGCCAGAAGAGGTGTGATGGTGGACCTTCTTCCTCTTGAAATGTTTTCTGATGGAGCACCATCATTCTTATGAAACGACTCGGTTCCATTCCTTCGTGTGCCAAGTATCCTGGTAATTTTCTGTCGAATTTCGTTTTCACCGGGAAGGCTATACCTACGTGGGTACCTCTCTTGCAATTTCTCAATCATAGCGGAGGGGCCAAGCTTATCAGCAGAAACCTGCGCGACTCTTTCAAACATCTCCTTAATCTCGCCTCTGTACTGCTCAATATAACTTCTCCTATATTGTTTTCCTCTCCGCGGCCTCCGTGCCCATCCTTGCCCCCTCATTTGTTCACTCGGAATCTCGAAGTTTCCCGCCAGCCCATATTCTGGCATTTCGTCTTGCCCATCTCTGATCCTTATAACCTCACTGGATATTAGGTGATTTGCTTGACGGACTGCATATGCCACCATATCCTTTCTTGTTGTCGAGGACAAATTACCTTGTGAGTTTAAGCGTTGTGCTCTGGTTCGATCCCTCGGCCCTAGCACAGATCCAAGTCGAGAACGCTTAGCTACTACAGTACCAGTGAGCATGTGCTGCATTCCTCTCCGTAAGGTGGTCCGTACGGTGCATAACATTCTAGTGAATTGTAAGATATGCTTTCATCAATGTCGACAATGTCCTGTGAATTATTCGCATTATGCTGTACGACTCCTGCGTTTGTACCTGCTTCAAATCCATCACTTAGTATTTCTCGATTTTCTGCTGTTGAACTTAGATATTCATATCTCCGTCCAGTTTCAATTATAAAGTCATTTTGCGAATGAGCGTGATCACCTTCTTGATAGTCAGGTACTATTTGTAAATCCTCTATGTTTGTTACACCATTTTCTGCTTCTAATTCTGGAGTACCATCACGTTGTACTGGAATAAAGGACTGGCTATTCAACAACATTTGAAACTCCACACCGCCCCCAACACCCGAGTTGGAATATGCTCGTAGGGTATAACCAATTTGCTTGTGTCTTGGCTTCGTCACATGGTCGCAAATGATATCCCCTATGACAAATCTATTACTTCTCTCTGTAAAGAAGCAATCATTGCACCGGGAAAAGTACAGCTTGGCCTCCGCACAAACTTCCAGAAATCTTTCCCTCAGCAGAGTTAACCGCGATCTATCAAGACTTACAAGCTGTACAAAAGAATTTTGAATGCCACCGCCCCACGCCAAAGCAGCCGATAAGCCCTTGGGTGTCGCTATCTTTCTGATCATGTTGCGTTGAGAAGTTTTCATAAACTTCTCAATATGAGAAGAGCCTCGCGCAAAATGTGCATCTATAAGTCCCTTGCCATCTTGAGTTTCTGTATGAATAAACCGAGAGACAGAGATAGGAGACAGTGCACTGATAAATGGAATCAGTAATAAAAGTTCAGTGGACTGGTAACATCCAGCGTTGTCAGACTGCAAAGTAACGGATTCTATGAATGGCAGCTCCTTATGTAATTGTTTGAGAAAGGTTTCCAACATGGAACTCACTGCCAATGCATCTTGCTTATTTGTTCCATCTAGAATTTGATCAAAATAAACCGTGTATCGCAGCGCATCCGTCTTTACAACCATGTAGTAACTGGCAAGAAACCCATGCCATCCTATCCCACGTTTTCCAAAGTGTTGCTGAGTGGTCTCTCTTGCTGACATAGACTCGAACTTCATCTTCCAGTCCATTACAAGAACAGCGTGAGTAGTAGGGTTACCATTCTTGTAGTACAACCGCACGAAGGCAATCGCACCACCGCTGCCGCCCCGGGATACAGTACGATGGCTGTAAGCGCGAGAAGAACTGTAAGGAGTTATATTTACAGCACACGGCCGGTGCGGAGTACAGTGGTACCCCGCTGGTTACACGTGTAGGATCCGAACGGTAAGTAATTAGTAATTAGTAGTTAATGGC